AATAAATAGCATTTCACTTCATTTTCACACACTATTTGCAAACACATGGAGATAAGAGAAATCAGCAGCCTAGAGGTTATTTTTAACAGCTCTAAACATACTGGAAGCACTGAATGTTTTAAAAATGAACCAAAACTTCTCACTTATATAATTCTATAATGGAAGTGTAGGCACTCCATACAGACTTGGATTTGTGTAGAAACTGTCTTCTACAATCTGCTTTTCTTGTAATTTGTACAACTTAGCTGAAGGAGAATTACTTAATTTTTTTCTGGTTTCTTCTGTAGGACTTCTGGGTCATGAACAACTCCATACAGAGCACAATTATCCTACTTATTGAGCAAATTGTGGTGGCTCTGGGAGGCGAATTCAAGCTCTATCTGCCTCAGCTCATTCCTCACATGTTACGGGTCTTCATGCATGACAATAGTCAGAGTCGAATTGTCTCTGTCAAGGTGAGTGAGAAGCTACAACCTGCTGGGTTGGTTTGGGTACTGCCAAGGCAGGTGCAGGCTGTGTGCCTTCTTCTAGAAGGATTTCTGCTGCTTGTGTTGTAGGTGCAATGTTGGCAGTGGCTTGGGGTGAAGTACAGAGTGTAGTCTCTTGAAAGCGTAAGTTCAAAGCAGCTTTTCTCTGGAGACTGATCTATTTAAAATGCATCTTTTTCTTTTTTCTTTCCAGCTATTGAATGCAATCCAGCTCTTTGGAGCTAACCTGGATGACTACCTTCATTTATTACTACCTCCTATTGTAAAGCTGTTTGATGCCCCAGATGCCCCAGTTGTGGCTCGCAAGTAAGTGTTAATAGCTTTGCAGTCTCTTTTTTTGGCTGTGGCATCCCAGTTCCTCAGTGGTTTCCCTGACCACGTGTAGAGTGAAATAACTTAGTTTTCTGTGTTGAATCACTATGGAAGGCTGTTCTCAGTGGGGCTTTGCAGCACTGTTACTATAACTTTCTGTTCTCACCTGTCAGCATTCTAGTCACTGCAATTTGCAAGCTGTCCAGCAAGTGATAGCTGCACTAATGACTTTGGTGATATTCTTCCCATTACTTCTGATGCCCAGGAGGTCTGAGCATGAATCACTTACGTATTTTTTACATTCCATTTCTCCTGTTGTGCCATGAGAGTTTAGAAATCTTCCCTTCTCTCTGCTCTGACTTTAGAGCTGCTCTTGAAACGGTGGACCGCTTGACAGAGTCTCTGGATTTTACTGATTATGCTTCACGAATTATTCATCCCATTGTGAGAACACTAGATCAGAGCCCAGAGCTACGAACAACTGCAATGGACACACTCTCCTCTTTGGTATTCCAACTGGGAAAGAAGGTAATGGACTTCTAAGGCTTGTAAGCTTATAGATGAAAGAATAGTCCAAAAGATCAAGGCTTTGAAGTTGAATATTTGTGTTATAGTGTTTTGGGGTTTTTATATAAAACAGTCTTTCCTTCTCTTAGTTGATTCTGGACTCGGGTATTACTAAATTAGACATTCACAATTGGTTTCTTATCAGATCAGTGAAACAAAGGTGGGATTTTACTGTTCTTGGTGAGTAACTAGTTTTTGATGTATTCCCTTGTACAGTACCAGATCTTTATCCCGATGGTAAACAAAGTTCTGGTGCGACACAGAATTAACCATCAACGCTATGATGTTCTTATCTGCAGAATTGTAAAGGTTAGTTGAAATGTATATTGTTGCATAAAAGTACTTGAGGAATGTTTTCATGTTGATTTTGATGTAGCTGGGAGACTTCAAGATATCTGTAAAGTGAAGAGTAGTTGTTGCTATATTTATGTGTTAAGTATATTTCTGTAAGGAGTCTGAGATTGATTGGGAAAACTGTTGTCAAATGGTATCAGTTACTTCCCATAGAAAAATCACTGCAACTCCTAGATAAGAACTTAAATTTGTAGTCAGTATCATTACTTTTTCTGCTGGAGATTCTTAAATGTGAATTTCCCCTACTTGTTTCCATGGAGTCAAGACCTAACGATGAGATAACAAGGTCTCATTTTCTGTAGTAGGGCCGACATTTCAAAAACTCACTAACTGCTATGTAATTTAGTATAGAACAAGCAGTGCATTGTTGTCCACATTGAGTAGATGAGTAGAAAGAAAATGTTTATTTTTAAAGTCAAGTTGTTCTGCATTGGTGTATTATTTTGTCCTTTCATACTAGGAGTTATTTTAGTACAAAATTATCTTGATTATGAAAGGGCTATCATTTGAATTCACTGTTTTATAAGCTGTAATAATCATTATTATGAAACAGTTTTTGCTTCACAAACTGAGTTGTGAAATTGGCTAATGCATTGACTATCATCCATTTGATTTACAGAAAATTGCTTTTGTCTGTGTAGGTGTGATCCTCACTGTGAGCTGTTTATTGTAGGGCTATACTCTTGCTGATGAAGAGGAGGATCCCCTGATTTATCAACATCGGATGTTGAGGAGCAATCAGGGAGAAACCTTGGCCAGTGGTCCTGTGGAAACAGGTCCTATGAAGAAATTACATGTTAGCACCATCAACCTGCAGAAGGTAAAACTGGAGCTCTGCACAGAATGATGGAGGAGCTATCATGTCTAAACTAAGCAGTTTGTTCAGTGCATCTATATATTTGTTTACTTCTCTTTTCTGTTGCTAGGTTTGTATAAGGACAAGGTCAAGGTAGTGTTGGAGAATCCCTTTAAAATCAGAGGGTGCTAAGGGACTTAAAGATAGGAGCAGCTGCATTATCTGGCTGTTAAAAACTGAAGTAATCTTGGTGCTTTCTCCTTATGTGAAGTATTGAGGCTTCCTTGATTAAAAAAAAATCATCTATAGTTTCTAGAGACATCTACTTCAGAGCCTCTGCTTTTTTCTAATCAACCATTGCCCTCATATCTTACTGTTTATTGTATTCTCTTCAAGCTGCTGTAGAACTTAATAGCTACATTAATTTAAACAGTAAATATTTGCAGCATTCAGTACAGTGTCAGGATGGATAGGCTTCAAAATACTGGACTTAAAAATGTAATCCTAAATGCATTAAGTATTTTTAAGCTGATGCTTCAACAGTAGCTTCAGCTCTTGATGAGTTTTTGCAAGGAAAGAATTGTTAATGTTAAATATTTGTTGTGACTGGAATGAATTTCTTAGAAATAAGACTGATCTACTGTGAATTATTTGGTAACTGTAAATGGATTTCAGAGAATTGGAAAGGGAATCTCAGAAGTACCATTTGGAGTTGTGAATGCTTCCTTTTGATGGATTTCTTCTGCTTTTGGACTGTGCTCTGTTTAGATTGGTAGTTAAATTGTTTTGCTTTGTACTGCAGGCCTGGGGAGCAGCAAGAAGAGTCTCCAAAGATGACTGGTTGGAATGGTTAAGAAGACTCAGTCTGGAGCTGCTGAAAGATTCCTCCTCACCATCCTTGCGCTCATGCTGGGCCCTGGCTCAGGCGTATAATCCTATGGCTCGGTACATTAATTATGTCTTTTTCAGATCACTTGAAATTGCAGATGCAAGCCAGAGGTTATAAGGAAAAAGAAAGTTTCTTAAAAGCTCTTAGGTTCTGTAAATAGAGTTCCTGGGACAAATCAAATAGTTGGCAAGTTGATTTCATTTCCAGCCGTTGCAATTGGCAGCTCCACGATGTGCACAAAATCTTTAGTGGAATTCTGCGTATTAGTCTAGAAATAACATAAGACACATAAAAGTGGAACTAGAGTATGAAATAGTCTCCTGGGTCTGTTGTGGGCGAATAAAAATTCCACAGAGTGGAGTAAGCTGCTGTACTTTATTGCAACCAGTATGTCTGGAGAAGTGTAGAGTTTCTGTAAGCAGTTGCCCAGTTATCTCTTCATTACGATATACACTTGTCATCTCAGTACATAAGAATCTGGCTACTGCTGATAGGGAAGCGTTTGCCCTGGTTTAATTTTATGTTAAAGTGAGCTTTGTCACTTATGAAATTGAAAGAGTGTGATAAAAGGTCAGCACTTCCTAGGTAGACAGAGATAATGCTCCTGTTCTCCATAGATACTTGCAAATGCATCACAAATCCATTTCACAGGATTTCTTCAGAACACTAACAGTGACAAGGGCAGTCACTATCTTTTTCATCACCATTCCTTCTCCCTCCCCAAGATTTGCCACTAATGCAATCTCCAGCTGTTGCAGTCCTCTAGTAAGTTCAGAATGTGTCTGTGCACATCTGGTGAAATGCCCAATTATTTTCACAGTATTCGTTTGTAACCAAAGTAATATGAGGCCTCATTCTTTGTCACATAAAAGTATTCTCGCTGCTCTGAAGATTCAGTTCTAGTCTAAAATACTTACTAGCAAATGATAGTACTATCTTTTACTATCATATTGTCTCATCCTATTATGTACTTTCTTTATTTAGGTCTCAGTATTTGGTACAGAAGCTGCTTTTGTAAAAGCTAACCACTGTGTTTCACAGGTGGATACATATATGCTGTTTGTAGCTATCTTTGCTTACTGTCAAATACACTTTTTCTCACAAGTAATCTTTTTTTTCTCTTCAGAGATCTCTTCAATGCTGCTTTTGTTTCATGTTGGTCTGAACTGAATGAAGACCAGCAAGATGAGTTGATCCGAAGCATTGAATTGGCCCTGACTTCTCAGGACATTGCAGAGGTCACTCAGACACTGCTGAACTTGGCAGAATTCATGGAACACAGCGACAAGGTAGACACACTGTCAGGCTTTCTAACACTGGCTAGTTAGCAGGTGCCTAGTGCATGGAAAGGATGCGAAGAGTTCATGCATACTTTCTCACTTTTTTTTTTTTGTTAATTAACTTTCTTTTAATGTATGTGCTCTACCAAGGGTCCACTGCCTTTGAGAGATGATAATGGCATTGTCCTCCTGGGGGAGAGAGCAGCAAAATGCCGAGCATATGCAAAGGCTCTTCACTACAAGGAGCTGGAATTTCAGAAGGGTCCTACTCCAGCCATTCTAGAGTCTCTTATCAGGTAGGAACACAACTGATGAATTTTTTTTGCTCCCACATCACTTCCCAATTTAGAAAACTATTAAGATGAATGTGGACAGTTGTGTAGATTCTGAAATTCTAACGTCTCTGTTGTAGGCTTACGTTCTCTAGTTTGTAGATGTACACTCCTGCCTGCTAAATTCTGCTACAAAAAGCTACAGGAAGCTGAAAAGGTGGACGTTGCTCTGATTTCCTTCCTTACACCTTCAAGTTCAGTATGGGGCTACTTGGAATGGCTTTAACATAGGTGAAAGAGATTTCTATACCTACAAGTAAACAAGCCAGAACAGCCAAAGCTTTTGACTAAAATTTCTAGTCAAATTTTACTCTTCTGACTTAGATATTTCATTCTTCATGTATCAGATTGAACATACTGTATTGAATGGGGGTGGTGTACTGTCTTGAGCTTTGTCGACAAAAATCATAGAATCATAGAAGGGCCTGTGTTGAAAAGGACCTCAAAGATTATCTAGTTTCAACCTCCCTGCCTGGAATACATGCACAGTTAGTAACAAAGCAGAGGAAGCTACTGTGCATGTTCTGAAGAAGAGTGGTCTTGTGCCCTCTTGAGACTCTTTCCATTTTCATCTTGCAGTTACTTTGCTCTGCGGTCTCAGAGTTCAAAAGCCTGACTTCAGAGTGTGCCCACAGAAACACTAGAACAAAGTGTCATTCGGTGTAGGAACAGAAGTTCTGCTAAAGTAGTTCAATTTCTTTCTTTTAAGAGAGATTATAACTTTGGATCTTTATTATTATAATTTTAGGGAACATTATCCTGGGAACATTAATGCTACAATCTGAAATTGACAGATTGATTTTGATTAAACAAAAATTGGCTTTGTATGCTGTAATTTTTCAGTTCTTGTAACTCCTTGGAGTTTGCTTCTTTGTTCCCTCCCCACCTTGCTCACAGCTTCTATTTGATTTGTTTTATCCTTTGTCCTTTTATTTTTCTGAGGAAAAGATACAGAATTCAGTGTGTCAGTTGTGCAGTTATTTCTTTGTGCACCACAAAGCAAGCTAAGGAGCAAAGAGTTGAAATAAATCAGGATTAAAAATGAAAGACAATTTATTAGAAATCTTAAAGTTTAGAAATCTTTCAAATCCTCTTTCTAGACCACAGTTAAAATGGTTCCAGCTATAGTTCCATGCAGCTGAAATTTATAGTGTTAATAGTCAAACATTTAATAGTCAGACATACATAAAGCAATTACTGACACTTCTATCTCCATTTTCACACGAGACCAAACAATTTAAATTAGATTCAAGTCCTCTTGAAGGTGAATAAAAATAGATATATTAAATATAACTATCTTTTCCAACATATTCAAACAAGAGTATGGCTATGGGAGGAGTCTTTTTTTTTTTTAATGTTATTTGCAACACTGTGTTATAAAAGGGAGAAACAAGATGCTGATTTTCAACATAACATCTCCAGTTAACTTTCAGTTGGAAGATCTTCAGAACAAATGTGAATATTTCTCAGTATATGAAGTGTGATTTAATAACTTTCCTGTTCTCTTGTGTGTAGTAGTACTTTGCTTAAGGATACAGTGGTTTCAGGTGTGGGAGTGGAGTTGGTTGGTTGGCTGGGTCTTTATTTTTGCTAACTTGCTGTTTTCTTTTTTTCTTACTGCCTTATAGAACATTTCTATATCTTAACATGAACATAATTTGGTGGTGGCCTGAAATGTTGCATTCTAGTTTTATCAGGCTTTAGGAATAAGTATTGTATAGGATATAGGATAAATCCTTTCTCCAGGGCACTATGCTGTGTGCAGCTGTCTGTGGGGATGGTAGCAGGAGATGGCAGTAAAACTTCAGGAGAGAACCTGCACAATATTAGCTTATGGAGAATTTTTGGGCTTCATTCTTCCTTCTGTGGGGATGTAAGCTGAAGAAAGGTGCATCAAGAAGACTTCTATTTGGTGATTTCCCTTGTTTGAGACCAGTATATTGCTTTTGTGATTTGAAAGGAGTTAAACAGCAATACATATACTTGACAGATGGAAGGGGAACAAGGAGGCTTTCTTTTTGCAGTCCCTGTCTAACTGATTAGTACAACCCACTAGTTGCAATGCTAGTGAAAACACACCAGGGAGTTTTCTGAAGGCGCTGTAAGCGAAGGAGGTGTTTTGCATTTTGTTCTAACCTATTCTAACACAGTATTTATCCCTTTAGAAAGAATCTTCAGAGGAGATAAGTGTGACACTAGTGGCTGTATCTGGTGTTTGGTGTGCCTTACTGATTCTGTGTGTACATACTACGCATGTTTTGCACGTACTAGATGAAGTGGACAATTAAATGGTGGGAGTTATCAGCTGCCCACCTTCTCTATAGTGGCATCATGTAGCTGTATGATCAGGTATTGATTTCCTTTATGGTTTGAAGTCTTCTGGCCGGATCTTCATCTCAACCCGTTTTAGGGAATAGGTTGACCCATGCCATCCATACCAGGTGATACCATCCATGTTTTTGGTGTGTTCTCCTTTGCGGTAGTAAACCCCGTTCAGGTTGGAATCTGTGCAGCAGTTGTACCAATATCCACCTTTTCAGAAAACAAATTAATAGATTCTCAGTCAGGCACTTATTTAAAGACAGGTATGTGTTGTACTGATAATCACAATTAATTATTGCTCTGTTCCGAAGAAATTGCCCAGAATGCAGTATTTAATTCTTAAAGTCTATGGTCCTGATAGATAGTATTACAGGTAAATTCAAAACTTAACATAAATACTGAATGCATAAATGCTTTACAGTTAAACAGGCAGTTTAGTCTGATAGTTTTTCATTTATTTGCTTGTTACTCTTGGAGTATTTCTTTGCCATCTTTCTGACTGGGAGCATAGGCAATGAATTTGGGTTCCTAGCGTGGACATCTGGAGGCCTTTAGAAAGGGTTTCTGGGCTCTGTGGCTAAAATGCATTATTTTATTCAGATAGATATCAACAGTTTTTATTTACACATTGCATGGGTTTGAATAGGAAGTGAAAAAATAAAGGGCAAGAAGCAGTGGAGACAGTTATCTTTGTGACAGAGTCTTGTGTGCTCAACAAGCTCACTGGGGGCAGTTTACCTTTACGGAACTGGGCGCAGTCATCCACACACTTGTCGTTATCTTTGTCCTTTGTGCTGAAGGCTGTGTTGTTGTGGTACCTCAGGGAGTCACGTCCTGTGTTGCCAGTGTAGTTCCCCACAAAAAGGCGGTAGCTGTTCAATTCATTGCTCAGGGTGAATTGCTTGTATTGTGCGTAGCGTATGTTACCTTCCCAGTCCTGTCATAAACAGTGAGGAGGAAATAATTCCTATTAGAATGGTTACAAAAAGACTGTGTGGCCTGTGTTTATATACAGTGCATATTGCATGTCTGTTCTCAGTACTTTTTTGAGTCTTTTCCATCTTGAGAACAGGTTGATAGAACTTCTCTAAGGCAAACAAACTTTTCAGAGCGAGATACCATGTTTCCAAGTCTCTGCACTGGTATCAAACAGTATGTATGGAAACCTGGTTTGTAGCTCTTACATTCAACAGACTCCTTTGATAGTGTGCTGCCTCAAGTCTTTTTTTTTGTTCTCTAAAAGAGCAACTTCTAGACATAAAGCCTTGCAGCTCACTTTGGTTTTACATCCCTCAAAGCACTTGTGCTGACTACAAGCTAACCCAAACCAGAACCAATCCCTAAGGAGACTGTAGAAATCACTTTCTGGGTGATACAGTGTGAACTAACTTGTGCATGAACCAGAAGGAATTGCTGCAAAGTAGAAGACTTGGCCTCAAAATCTTTATCAGATACCTGAGTGAATGTTTAAATCTGCAGTGGTAGCAGTTTGGTCTGGCTGCAGTGTATCATACAGGATTCTCTAGAGGTCACATTACTGAAGACACAGGCTACATGGAGATTGAAGTTGATTTTGCTTGCTGGAGAACATGGTTCTACTTTGTCCTTGAATCTGTCACTAGGACTATCCTGATTCCTTCTCCTATAATTAAAGCATCCAAATTCCTTGGGCCTTCTATTACAATAAGAGATAGTTCTTCCAAAGCAGATACTACTCCATACAAAGCAAAACAAAAAAAACAACAGCCAACAACCTGTGGTTGCTGAGATGGAGAGCTTTTAATTACCTCCAACTCTACCCGCAGAACAGTGGGACGGCGTGAAAGTCGGTAGATGTTTTCATTTCCCAGCCAAAAATCTCCCCGAATATTGCCAAATCCTTCCCTGTATTGTTTCCAGTCCCTATTGAAAGACGTCAGACCAACTTTACGCCTCTGAATGATAGTCCAGCCACCTCCATCTGTCTCCATGTCACAGAACACCTGGAAGAGGAAAAATGCAGTGCTTATCAGGAGATTTAGGAAGTTTGTTATCAGCTGAAACGAGACAAGAAACAGTGCTGTTCCAGCTTTCACAAGTTGGAGAACTTCCTGTTTTATTTAAAAAGAATTAAAACAAAAAAACCACTGTTATCTAAACATCTTACAGTTTGCCCTTCTTAAATACACTTTCCTTCCAGATTTGCGCATGTAAAGATGCTGGCTCAAAGTGCAGGGCATCATAACTCAGTATGTGCTCTCTCTCTCTTTCTTTTCTCTATTATATTTTAGAAAGCACTTAATGTTTGTTGTGTACATTGCATCCTTACCTCCAGATCTGGACTCCCCAGAAATTCATCAGGAGGTAGCTTGTAAACACCAGAGATGCGATAGTTCCTCTGATAAAGTGATGAGCAGTCATAGACAGCATCTACTTGAATCAAAATCATAAAGTAAGAATCTGAGCAGTGAGAATAATGCTCCCTTCCCCCCGAGTCTGGTTTCTTCAAAGCTTAATTTGTAGTACAAGAAATAATTAAGTGAAGAAGACTTTCTACAAGTCTGTTTATCTGAAATGGTCCAAAGAGAGGTCTTTACTCCTTTTCACATTGCTACTGTATGTGTTTGTGCAGAAAGGTAAGAAGCTATATTTGTTGTTCCCTTCCAATAGTAAAGCCTTATCCAGTGGAATGGATGGGCCTGCAGCCAGGTGCTTCTTTAGTTGTGTATTTGAACAAGTTAGCTAAGTTTATGGTTGAGGCATGTTAGCTCAGCACTTTTTGCACTGGAGCTGTGACAGGTGGTGGCTTTTAGTTGCAGTCAGTCTCTGTGAGCCTCCTTTCTCCCCATGCAGGAGCTGACTTGGTGCTGGTGATGTGCACTGCTTCTGAGGAAGATAAACTAGCTGAAGCAAGGCTTTACCTGTTCTGACAGTTTTCAATTTAGTACAGACTCGATGTGTCTCACCTGGTGTAGTCAGACATGCTTGCATTAAATACCTTCTGGGCTAGTTTCTTGTGTGTTGTTACTTTTTTTTTCCTGTGCTTTTACTGTAGCTCCAATGAATTTAATTCATGGTGAAATCTCTAAGACCTGCTGTAAGCAGTGAGTGGCATGTTAAAGCTGAGCAACTTGAACTTTCTGCAAGCAGAATTTAGTAAATAGATTTAGAAGTTTTTCCTTTGCATTTAAAAAAAAAAAAACAACATATGTGTATGTGTTTGTTTTTTTTCTGCAAATCCAATCATCCCAGGCAATAACAGTCTAAAAGAAATCTTAAGCTTGTTGAAATCAATTTCTTTTTAAGATAAAAGCCAACAGAAACTGAATGACACTTTCTTCTAGAAATTGCTGTACAGGTAGCTGAACTACAAAATGCACCTGCATTCCACATTACAAGCCTGTGCAATTGCTGTGTGCATTGAAATCTTCCCCTAGGGAAGAGAGAATTTTGAGTGATTTAAATATGTTTTGGCTGGACGTATATCACTACTTACATTTTGCATCATCTGCACCTTTTGAATTTTGAAGAACTATCATTCAAATAATGGATCAAGTCTCTTACTCTTGCTCAGAGATCATCATAAAGATGCAATTACAAATCTACAGTAATGCTTGGAAAGCATTTCCTATTGCTTTACCAACTTCTGGTCCCCTGTCAGCACTGTTAACTCAAAGGGTGTCACTGCCAGAGCCATTTCCTCCCAAAGCCAGCTCTCTTTTTGGATTGGTACTTCAGTGCTCAGAAAGTAAGGTGACTTACTGAATTAATCACTGAACTAATACATTATCTGTTCAGTTTTTCCACTCTCTGGTAGCAAACATGCAGGCAGATACAGCTGGATCTTTGGACTTTTGACATGAAGTCAAATTGCTTTTTTCCTGAGGATCACCTGCCTACAGAAGTATATTAAGCAGATGTATTCAGTACACAGACTGGATAAGCACATTAGTGGGACATGCTAGCATTAAGAACTAATCATTAGTTCATTTTGTGCATTAAGATGTGCAGCTGGGAGCTTGGAGACTCCCTTCTTACCAGCCGAAGTTTGCGTGACCGTCTGAGCTGCCTGGAGTTGCATGATATCTATCTGGTTGTTCATTTCGGAGTACTTGCTCTCAGCATCAATGAGGCGGGACTCCATTTGCTTGGTGCTTCCTTCCAGCTCCATCACCTGCATGACCACATTCACCCAGTCACCTTCCTGCTTCTTGCTCAGCTCCTGCAGCATTCTGCTCAGGTTGGCTACTTGCAACTTGAGCTCTTTAATCTCATCGCAGCATCCCATCATCTTGGACTGTACGTTCCCATTGATTGTCCTCCTTTTAGGAGGCTTCTGCAGCAGTGCTGGATAGACAGCAACAGACACAGTGATAATGCAGAGCCATGCCAGCTGAACAGTAGATCTTGCTGGCATTTTTGCTTACAGCAACAGAAAACTTCCAACTGACTGCGGGTAGTCTGAATGCAGCTGGGGTATGTATGAAACTTGCTGCAAGTGCTGCAGCAGAATGGTACCTAGCTTTCTTCCAATGAAGTGAGTCTTTGAAGGTGGAGCCTGAAGAATCAGCCTTTTTTCAGACCCCTCCTGTCAGAGTGTGAGCTTTCTAAGTCCCTCTCAAAGCATCTTAAATACGTTTTTTCTGTTTACTTCCGCCCCCTGAAACTATGTGGAGCTTTCTGGCCCCTCCCAGTTCATCTGTTTGTATCAGGTATTTACTGGGTGAAATTGGAACTGGTTTCAGCCAAGGAAGGTTGGGATGTGCAGGAGAGACTTCACACTCCTTCAGGACAGAACTGAATGGGAGAAGGCTAGGAAATGAGGAAAGTTTCCAGTAATTTTTGCCTATTGGATTCTAGCCCTCTTGGTGACTAACTCTGGTACTTCAATAACATGAAAGCCTTGGAGGTGCAGGATGTGAAAAATCTGTTCTAACAGGATAGGGTGTGTTTTTTTTTTTTTTTTTTTGAAAGTTCAAGGAAGGTAACTCCCTAGAAAGTACCCATAGCTGCAGAATAGCTGCTAACATACTGTCCAGCAGTTGCAGGCATAGAGTTATTACTCCCCACAGTATTCTATAATATTCTATAATTAATTCTAAATTTGTTTGTCAGCATCTAATTCCAACCTCTCTGGACACTCTTGTCTTGGGAGTGCTTGTTTGTGGACTTCAGTGCTGTTCTTTTTAGAGATGGGATATCTAAGGGTGGGTGCACAGTAGTCTGCAAAACAGGTAAATCAAACCCCATGCTTTTGTTTGTGCATGGTGGACGAGCAAGAGAACATTAATCCTGAAAGCTAATCTAACTGAAGTTGACAAGTGATGTGTTTTCTACAGGAAGCAGTCAGCCTAATTCCAGTGTTATGGAGGCCAGTTTATTGATAAGACTTTAAGAAAGAAAGATGATCTATGGGTGATTAAAACATCCAGAGTTATATAGTGTAAATTTAAGAATAACTTTTAAATCTTTAGACCTTCAGGATATAAGTCAAGCATCAGCTGGGTGAGATCCCAAGACTTTCCTTCTCCTTCTGTATCCTTTAATAGTTTAAAAAGTTGATAATAGTTCTGATTCCAAAATAGAGAAATTTCATCAGTAGTGTTACCTTTTGCTAAAGGTCTGCAGCTTTTCTTCTAGGTCCTCGTGGATCAATTTTTACTGCACAGGCAAACTGCCCTGCAATTGCCATACATGTGGGTTATTCTCTCTCTGCAAACTTCTGATTGTGAAAATTGGCAAAGACAAGATACAAATGAAGGGGTAAATGACTCGTGTCTGCTCCTGGGGTAAATGCCATGAAAGTTCTCGGTGTCCAAGAAAACAAAATAAAGCTAATCTTGCTCTTTTTATGAAGAAAATGAGGATAAACACAGCAGAGACATATTATTCCATATAAAATTCTTTTGCTGGTCCAAAGCAGCTGCAGGATTTTGTTTAATTAAGATTAGAAAAGCCTTGGTGATCTCCTATTTGCTTTTGGAGAAATGGGAAACAACATCTAGCTAGTATAGTTTCTCCTCCTTCGTTACACTTCTAGCCAGATGCTTCATGTCTGTCTCTGATTTGCAGCACAACTGGCAAATAGCTTTTCTGCAGAACAGAAATGAGACTCCTTACCCTTTACCAGGGTGCAAAGATTTAGGAAGATGAAAGCATCAAAGAACTGAAGAGGCAGAATATGTTAAAGAGGAAGAAGAGGATCTTCTGGAGATCAGAGTTAGAGATCTCTAACAGGCAGCATGGGTGCCTTGTGCTGCACTGCAGGTGACTACCTGTGTGCTGTACTTCAGACAGAAACCCTGCAGTCTGCAGTAGGAGCTGGTGAGGCTGCTGTGTGGTGTTGCTGACCTGAGATATCACCAGAGATAGATGTAAGTACTCTGATGGAAGCACAGAGGGCACCTCTATTTACAATAGATCATTTGCTTCAGTCGTGTTGTTGTCGTGGGCATTCCAGAAACCTTCCATTGCAAAATTGCTTTTATACTTCAGACCAAAGAGTGCCACTGCACACAGATGAAAGCCTGACCTTTTTGTTCTGTCTCTAATCCTGTCTGAGCCCTCTTCCAGCTGGAGCTTCTGCCATTCCCAGGGGCAAATTCTTCTCAGGCTGCCTGCGATGAGAAACATGTTTTTGTGGAAGCTGGAACAAAGAGCAGGACAAGCCTGACTCTGGCTTCCCTACCCCAAAAAGCCACCCTGCTAACGTCCCAGTCTTGTTATGTAGAACTCTGATCCTCTCTGCTGCTTCTCTAGATTACAATAACACTTCTCTTTGCCTTGTACAGTCTGAATTCCCCCAAGCTTGTGCTTGTGTCACATGGAGCAGATCTGGAAAAGAGTAACAATTGTCCTTGCATTCCCTCTTGATTTAAGTTTTAGAAGTATCTAGGATTCAGCCAAGCTCCATGTTGCATCCAGATGTTACAAAACAGTGCAGAAAGGCTTCTGAATCCCTTTTCTAAACTATTTAATTGAAAATGAGACAGCCAGGGCTTTGCTTCAGATTCAGTCCCTGAATTGTATATCCTAATTCTGGACATCTTTCTGTTCCTGAGATGATACTACTTTGTTCTGCCATTTTGTTCTCTGTAAGGTGCAACTGGCATTATGCAGGATTGGAAAAGCACAAATCTTCACATCTGTCATTGCTTTTGAGGGAGCATTAAGGGAGATTTAGGCAGACATCTCTGTTGGCAGAGGCCCTATCCTTAAAGGAATTTGAGTTTTTTGTGTGTTTGAGTGTTGAATCTCTCCCTGTTGCATAGAAAGTAAGTAGTCTGTTATATGTATCAGTGTAATTTATTGCCAGATAAGATCAGCTGTAGAAGTTGATAGTCCATAGGAAACGATTCTGTACTTAAAATAGGACCCTAATTTCAAGTTGAATTTTGGAAAGTGGCGTAGCTGTGGGCACAACTAAAGAGAAACTTGACAGCTCTGTAGGTCCCAGTCCTATTTTTGACTTTCCATTGACATTGATAGAGAAATCCAGTCTGAAATTCATTGTCCTACCTTTCTTTCATTATATTTTGTATTTGGAGATACTCTGCTACACAGTAGCTAAAAAGATGATATCTTAAGGTCAAGAGCATGAGGCGAATTCTTTCTAGCTTCCTTAAGGATGTAAGGTTTGAAGTGGTTGGGAGGATTAATATAAATATCACTGGTTACACACACCTTGAGGTGTTGGTTTATGTTACGTAATTAGAGAAGTATATTAATATCACTCAATTAGAACCAGGTATCTGGCCCTGGAGGGCCAGATTAAATTAGAGATTGGTGTAAATAACTGCCTTGTCTGGAGAGTTTTTCTGGCAGGTGTATGTGAAGCCGAGAGAAGAAAAGCTGCACCCTGTGGCTATTTATTTGGTAGCCAGTCATTGCAAAACCCTTAACATATCTGGCAAATGCTTAAATCTAACATTCCTGGTGCCTGCTGAGATGGCAAAGATGCTCAGCTCTCTCCTGGCAGAGCCCAGAGGTTCATGCTTTGCCAGAGCCCTCTGAAGATCTGCTTTTCCATTCTAGACAGCAGGAAGCATGGAAAAGCATGGAACTGCTCACCTCTCTTCTTAGATAGGCATAAATGTTCTAATATTCACTTTGCTATTGCTGTAAGTAGTGACCTATGGAAGGGTGAGGATCGGGAGCAGTTAGTCTGGTCTGTAAGCAGTCACTCGTTGCAACTGTTTATTGCAAACAGCTCTTTGCTGGCAGTTGTTTTTTTCTGAAGTTAGTTGAATCAAGAATTCAGGGATGCCTGAACACAAACTGTAGAATTGAGGAAATTAGCCTATAAATCCAGTTCCTTGTGCCAAAGGATTATCTGTTCTGCAAAGTAGCAATAGCTTCCACTTCTACTCCCAGAAGCAAGCTCTTACCACTTCTGAAGGAAAAACAAGCTTGGTTTGGGTGGATAAAATCTGTGAGATAGAGGAGGTTTGATTTTTGTACAGTGTTGAGGAGACAACTTTGGCTACTTTTAGATGTTACACACACGCTGCTTTATTGCAAAAATAAGGGCTTTTTTTTTTTTTTCCCTAACAAACCTTGAGACACTTTCTGGAGATAGAAGATGTGTGTTCTCTCCCAGGTAATTCTGGGACTTCTTGAAAAGTCTCTAGTATTAACAAAAATAACTGGGGAAGATGAAGGAAGGTCCAGGCCCTTAATTCTAATTCTTGAAGATTTAATATATTTTGAGTGACAGAATTTTGCTAGATATTCTTAAAGCTAGTGGATGACTGGACTGTATAAAAGGGAATATTTCTAGTGAGCATTAGACATCATGCCTGGGGTTTATGGAGGAGGAAATCCATCAGTGGAGTGTTTTTCCTGCTGAAGACAGTAAAATTGTTTTGCATTCCTAGTTCATGTCTGGTTTCTATTTAAACAGCCTTCAAAATAGACAAGAAATAGGGGTGCCTTTCTCTTAAATAATGCTCTTCTTTTTGTAATTCTAGCTCAGAAGTGGGCTTTGCACATTGAAGACTTGCATTTTTGTTTGATATCTTGATAATCAAACAATAGGTTCGCCTGACCTCTCACAACTAATAAAGTTCACAGATTGAAGATTTTGTCCAGGATTTTTGTATCAGGGGATTTGTCAGGGATAGACACTTTTTCTCATTACTATACCATTCCATCTCTACAAGCTTTTTCATCAGGTTTGTCACATCTTAATATCCTGCTCATCTTCAAGTGCTACAGGCAGGTTAAAGTTGGACAATGGGGTTGGATGTTCTCCTAGCCCAGCTCTCTACTATACTGATGAACAAATGGGGGGGAAAAAATGTAATTTTGGATTTATGTCTTCTCTTCACAAAGCTTTCTGTGCCCACCTCTTTTCCTTATCCAGCTGCCCCTTCTATCTCTGCTGAAGACTGTACACTTGAAATATGGAAATTAATGCTTTTGGTATTGTTATTGAGATCAAATTCAATTATCCTCTACTGCTTTAAGTAAGTCCAGGTGGGCCAAACTCATACAACACTGGAGGAAATCACTTTTGCAACTGATTAATGCTCGTTTTGAAAGAAAGTATAGGGATCTTGCAGGCTGTTTTATTGGTTTTCTTATTCACTTTATTCCAGAAATGCAAAATTAAATCATGTTTTAAGTAGTGAAATGAGTGCAATGTATATTAGAATCTCTGTCTTGAAACAGCTTAAGAAGTCTTGCTGTCTCCCTTGGCTCCCTGTGTAGCTTTATTTTGTTTACCCTTCTGATTCATGCAAGCAGGCAAACAATACAGATGGCTTGTGCTTTAGTTAGAAGACTTTAAGTGTGTACATATGGTCTTTAAAAGATTGAATTTTGGAATATTTTACTTGAGCATTTTTCTGAAGAGAAAACAATTCACAACTTAGCATTTCTGGAAGGAAGAAGGTAACTGCTGTCCACGCTAAAATACTGTTTTATGTAAAAATGTAAATCTCATGGAAATAAATTAAATGTAGTATACAGACACTACTGGAGTGCACTGTAAACGTAAAAGGCATTTGGAGAGCATTAGGAGGAAGGCAGATGTGAAGACTGCACTGAATAACCAATATCTGCTCAAAGCTGTTATCTGTTTCTTATAGGAAGAATTTTCTAATTTTAACCAACTGGAAGAAGATACTTCAACCTTTCCTCAAAGTTGACATATGTAACCTATGACCAGTCAAACCTACATTTAGAAAGGGGGTGGAGTGGTCTTCTCTTATGGCCTGATGTTGAGTAAAGGGTTTGAGTCGTGTGGTTGGTTTCTGTTGATGTTGGTATTTTGTTGGTTTCTTTTCTCTAGCTTCTAAACAAAAGTGAGCAGATAAACTTGTTCTGTACTCAATGGATATGGAGAAGAATTGATTTTTGCTTTAATTTTAAGCTTCATATTAGCTTGAATTGGGAATAACTGCAAGGACACCACCCAGTAATCACAGACTGAAGTGCCTCTCTGCTGGGTTAGCCAGCAGGATTGCTTCTGTCTTGAGAGATGTTTTCCCACCTTCTTTAATCCAAAACGATACTGCACAAACTGTTACCAGGTACAAAAAGAAGATATTCTCCTGTCTCACAGCAGTAATGTTATGGTTAAAATTCCTGGAAACTGCCTGCCTGGAGAATTAGCCCTTCAGGGCTGCTTTGGTGTGCCTGCATGCTTTTCTGTAGTGTCATTCATTCTATTCAGTCCCCATTGTAATAACTAAAAAACAAACAAACAAAAAAAACTTTATAGTGCTTTAAAGTATTGTAGAATTTTGGCAGATATCTGCAGTGAGAGAGGTAATGCTTTTATAGCAGGGAGATGAAAATGGAGAAAGTGCAAAGTGGCATGATTTCTGAGTGTGTATTTTGAATGTATTAACAGGGCTCCACGTGGAAATGCTTTTCCAAAAGGAGTACAGTCTGTTGGCCCAGCTCTCAGAGAATTTGTATGCAGAGAGCAGGGGGTCTGTTAAGAACACATTCCGATCAGCTGCAGTAGCAGTGGTTTTTGGGAACTGCCAATATACTTCCAATGATCCCGTGGATGAGAAAACACAGAAATCCAAGCTCTTTTAAAATAAAAAAACACAAGATCAGAACTTAATTAATTCACAAACAACTGTATTTTCTTTAGCTCATAGGACCGAATAGCAAAAGGATGCTGTGATTACCAAGGATTTATTGCTGTGAGGAAAGTCAGTGAATATTCAGCCATCATTAATAAAAGTCAGTTTGATGTGCGAGTCTTGCTTTGGAGGGATTTCTGTGTTCTTCTTGACAGTTGCAATTCTCTGTGTTTAGGTTTGTTTTTGCCAAAGCAATGGATGCTTTCTTCTTCCATTGGTGTAAGCACACTTGTAACGTGCTCTATCAGGGCACTGACAGATTCTCCATCAGTGGCTTGTCCCAGTCCAAAGAATTACTTAGCTTTACTAGCTGTCTGGGTTAGATCATTTATTAAGAGTGATTTATGGCTAATAATAACAGGGTGTTATATGTATTGCTATATATTCTTTTAAATCCAGGCCTTTCTCCTTCCCCTTCTATCCTCTCCTTCTCCTTAAACCTAACAGCTACAGCTTAGAGTATTGAAACATGTAATTGTACCGTGGACAGCCAAGAAAGTACAAAACAAAAAGGAATGATTGAGTGCACCAGGGAGCATCAGCAAAAGTGCAGTGCTAATAGTCAAAGAATAAAAGATAATGGACAATTTGTCAGGACATGTTGACAAGAAAGATAAGTTGGAAGTAATTAACTGCCTGACATACTGGAAGTGATGTTCCTGCCAATGGCTCTTTAAATCATCAGGATATGAAATGTGACAACCATTTATCACTTTTATGGGGCACTGCTGTCTAGCTTTCCCTTGGGAAGCGTGGAGTAGTATGTACTTTGGCTATCTTACTTTAAGAAAGGCATGGATATATTCCAAGAGCTTCCCATTTTTGGGTGCCTGTCTTTAAGAGCTGTGATTGTGGTACATTCTTAGTCTAAGTCTAATTTGACCTCAAACTATTCCTAGTTCCAAAGGTGTCTTACTTGACATTGCCAGATACCCGGTGTGTTGATGAGCTTGGTTCTGTAGTTGTCAAGAAAGGAAACTTTCAGGGAGAGAATAAATATAAAGCACTTGAAAATGTCCCTTCTCTTGGCAGTCTGTTCAGATGACTCCCTTTTAATGCTGTAGATTTCATTGTTTTGTATGAGTCAGTGCAAGTCTTATGGGGAAAAGATATGTATGTATATGCTGTCATTCTGATAACAGGTAATGAGGGGCATTTCTGCAAGCTGCACCTATCTGTAACAACATATTCAAAGACTGCTAGAACTGTCTCTGCGTTGCTGTCACTGCCCATGTTTTAATAGGTTTTGCTGTTTTACACCTCCAGTGTTAACAAGTACTAATGCTGGATTGTAATCTGTGTTGTAACGTGCTCAGTTGTTGTGACATCATTTGGAACAGCTTGCCCTTTTTGTTTTCCAGTGCCAGTAGGGAAAGAGGAGAGCAATGAGCCAGAAAATATTAACAAATAAGTCTTATAAAATAGCAAGAGCTCTATAAAAAGGTATTTCCCTTATTGATGAGGTGTTGAGCAAAAGCACTGATAAACAAGAACCAATGTGGAGATAGAGCCATTTCTGACTGTAAAATAAAAAAAAAACAACCATGTGAAATAAAAATGACTCAGAGCACATCACTTGAGCTGGTGAGCCAGGCTCAGGAGTTGTCTACTTGCTTGTGTTTCACAAAATTCAGATACCCCTGCAAAGCAAGGAGAGTGTGTTTAACACCATAGGATGCTGTGACAGCAGGTGTTTCTGTCATGGTCTTGAACACAGGCAAGAGAAGAGTACTGGTATGGGTTTGCCCCAGTGCAGAGGTGTTATTTGAAGCTGAGTGTGGAGCTGCATGCTCTCTGTGAAGCTGGCAGGTTTGTCAGCTGTTCTAATGATGGAGCTCATTTCCTGTGGTATTAAAATCTCGACTCAGATTTTCAAGGGAGTTAGTGATCTATATAAGGCAAATGGAAGGAAAAAATATCAGCACTGTAAAGCTCTTATTAAGTGCAGCTGGTATTTGGGGGTGGGGAGGTTCTTGTATACATAGAGGTGGGTAAGGTGGAAAAAAAAATGTTAGGGAGGAGGTTCTAGCTTAATAAAATGAGATTATGAGGAAATTAAAATGAAGAAATGGAACATGAGAGCAGGCACTGAAGTTTTGCTCAAGTCCCCTTTTGATCACTGTTAAATCTCATTTGTATCCCTAAATTTAATGGTAGCAAAGAGGAAAAGTGATAGCTGGAGAAATAAAACAAGCAAAACCTCAGAAGAATCCTTTCCAGTGTGGCTGCCAGTGATTTTTTTTTTTTTTAACGGATGTCTGTATCTGAAAATATTCTTATATAATGCATTTGCACTGACTTGGCAACATCTGTGCCTTCAGTTCCACCAATTCAGATGCCCTCCTGTGAGTCTGGTTGTGCACAGCTGTGTGTCTATTGGATGTATTTTTGCCTATTGTGTAAATAGAAAGCTGACATGGATTGTCATCTTA